GTATTCCCGACTGGCCACACGAAGTGGGTGATGCTCCCTGCTTTGAGAGGGGGTTCCCTTATCCAGCTCCAGGAATATCTCAAGTGACAAAAACAAACAAACCAACAAAACTTTGGCCATTTCAGTCTTTGAGGCCTGGAGTGTAGGATTTAGAGCTTTACTCCAGGGAGGCCCAGGAATGATTTCAACCACTCATTATTGCCACCAACCTAGGACTTGGGAGATGGAAATATCCTCTCTTCATATTTCTCCATCTTCCATTTCTTTCTCTTTAAACAGCCTCTGTATACCTTTTAAGAAGATTTATTCCCTTATCAATAAATGGCATTCTCAAAACTTTATGAAAATATCAATATATTTTTATATATGTGGTTTTTTAAAAATATATTTTTAACTGATGGAAGGTATATACAGCAGATCTTGTAAGTATGCTAGTAACTCAAAAAAGATGGCTGTGTTACCTCCTAATCCAGCAAAGGTGACATTAATTCATTCTGTGGTTTTTCTGTGCAGGTAGCTTTCTCATATTCTATTGCCCATGGTCTAATAACTAAAAAAATATTTTAAAAAGAACCAGAAGATTATTATGTGTTTGCTTTAAATTCTTTCCACAAATAAGTGAAACCATATGATGATTGACTTTCTCTTCTTGACTTATTTCACTTAGCATAATCTCCTCCAGTCCCATCCATGTTGATGCAAAAGTTGGGTATTCATCCTTTCTGATGGCCGAATAATATTCCATTGTATATATGGACCACATCTTCTTTATCCATTCATCTGTTGAAGGGCATCTCGGCTCTTTCCACAGTTTGGCTATTGCGGACATTGCTGCTATGAACATTGGGGTGCATATGGCCCTTCTTTTCACTACATCTGTGTCTTTGGGGTAAATACCCAGTAGTGCAATTGCTGGGTCATAGGGTAGCTCTATTTTTAATTTTTTGAGGAACCTCCACACTGTTTTCCAAAGTGACTGTACCAACTTGCATTCCCACCAACAGTGTAAAAAGGTTCCCTTTCTATTTATTTATTTATTTATTTATTTTATTATGTTATGTTAATCACCATACATTACATCATTAGTTTTAGATGTAGTGTTCCATGATTCATTGTTTGCATATAACACCCAGTGCTCCATGCAGAATGTGCCCTCTTTAATACACATCACCAGGCTAACCCATCCTCCCACCCCCCTCCCCTCTAGAACCCTCAGTTTGTTTTTCAGAGTCCATAGTCTCTCATGGTTTGTCTCCCCTTCCAATTTCCCCCCCTTCATTCTTCCTCTCCTGCTATCTTCTTCTTTTTTTTTTTTTTTAACATATAATGTATTATTTGCTTCAGAGGTACAGATCTGTGATTCAACAGTCTTGCACACTTCACAGTGCTCACCATAGCACATACCCTCCCCAATGTCTATCACCCAGCCACCCCATCCCTCCCACCCCCCACCACTCCAGCAACCCTCAGTTTGTTTGAGGAATTCTTAATCTCAGGAAACAAACTGAGGGTTCCCCTTTCTCCACAACCTCTCCAACATTTGTTGTTTCTTGCCTTTTCAATTTTTGCCATTCTAACTGGTGTAAGGTGTTATCTCAATGTGGTTTTGATTTGAATTTCCCTGATGGCTAATGATGATGAACATTTTTTCATGTGTCTGTTAGCCATTTGTATGTCTTCTTTTGAGAAGTGTCTATTCGTCTTCTGACCATTTTTTGACTTGATTATTTGTTTTTTGGGTGTTGAGTTTGAGAGATTCTTTATAGATCTTGGATACCAGCCCTTTATCTGTAGTTCCATTTGCAAATATCTTCTCCCATTCTGTGGGCTGCCTCCTTGTTTTGTTGACTGTCTCCTTTGCTGTGCAGAAGCTTTTTATCTTGATGAAGTCCCCAAAGTTCATTTTTGCTTTTGTTTCCCTTGCCTTTGGAGATGAATCTTGAAAGAAGTTGCTGTGGCCGATGTCGAAGAGGTTACTGGCTATGCCTAGGATTTTGATGGATTCCTGTCTCACACTGAGCTCTTTCATCCATTTTGAGTTTATCTGTGTAAGAGAATGGTCGAATTTCATTCTTCTGTATATAGCTGTACCAATTTTCCTAGCACCATTTATTGAAGAGACTGTCTTTTTTCCATTGCATATTTTTTCCTGCTTTGTTGAAGATTATTTGACCAAAGAGTTGAGGGTCCATATCTGGGTTCTCTATTCTGTTCCATTGGTCTATATGTCTGTTTTTGTGCCAGTACCATGCTGTCTTGGTGATTACAGCTTTGTAATATAGCTTGAAATCAGGCAACGGGATGCCCCCAGCTTTTTTTTCAACATTTCCTTGGTGATTCAAGGTCTTTTCTGATTCCATACAAATTTTAGGATTGTTTGCTCCAGCACTTTGAAAAATGCCATTGGTGTTTGCTTAAATTCTTTATTGCACCTAATCTTATTCTTAGGTTGATGCATTGCCTCACCTGATCTCGTTCTGTGTGTGTGTGTGTTTTTTTTAAGATTTTATTTATTTATTTGACAGAATAGTGAGAGCAGGAACACAAGCAGGGGGAGTGGGAGAGGGAGAAGCAGGCTTCCTGCCAAGCAGGGAGCCCAATGTGGGACTCGATCCCAGGACCCTGGGATCATGACCTGAGCCGAAGGCAGATGCTTCATGACTGAGCCACCCAGGTGCCCCTGTGTTGGTTTTATGAGCATAGAATCTATGTCTGCTTATGTCGCCAGGGTTTAACACAGAGTGTGTTATATTGGTGCTCAATATATTTTTTATTAAAAGAAGAAAGAATGGATGGGTGAATGGATGAATGAATGAATAAGTAAATGCAAAAGGCTAAAAACTAGTCTCTTTGATTCTGGTCTTGTCCTTTGTTATAGTCAGAAATCTATAATGGCCCCCCAATGGCCTACCTCCTTGTACAACTCCCTCCCCTTGAGTGCGGCAGAGATCTGAAGATGATGGGATATCACTTCCATGATTCATTTATTGTCTTTAAGAAAGAGATTATCTTCAGTGGCCTTGAAAAAATTAGGTGAGCCATTAAAAGAAAGGGACTCTTTCTGAAGGCAGAGACTCAAGGCATGAAGGAGATTTGATACAGGGAAGATTCTGCTGCTGACCTTGGAGGATTCTGTTGCTGCCATGTTGTATAAGATGAGTGCAAAGGCTGTTGTCAAGAAACTGAGAGCAACGACTAGGAGCTGAGAGTAGCCTCAGGCTGGCAATCAGCAAAGAAAAGGGGACCTCAGTCTTACACTTACAAAGAACTAAATTCTGCCAGTAACCTAAGTGAGCTTTGCATCAGATTCTTTCCCAGAGAAAGATGGGACCGCAGTTGGCCAATGCCTTGAGTGAGGCACCCTGAGCAAAAAATTCATTTGAACCATGCTGGGTTTCTTGATCCATGGAAACTGTGCCATAATGAATGTGAGTTGTTTTAAAGCCTCTAGGTTTATGATATTTGTTACAAAGCAAGAAAAAACTAACTCTTCTTCCTAAGACTTTGAATTTTGATCCTGCCATTCTTCTGCCTTTAGAATCTTCATATTGTCTTCATGCTAAAATCCAACTTAAATAAAGACTTTTAAAGCCTAATCACTTCCCTAGCCTCATTGCTTGCCAGTTTGATGCAGTCAGTCCATTCCAGGCAGGCTAAAATCCTTGGAGGTGCCTGATGACACTGTGCTCTCTCTTGCTTCACTTCTTCCTTGTGCTTTGCAGGGGCCCAAGGTGGGCTGCCCGCAAATGTGCCACAATGACATATTGATTATTTTGAATTGAAGCTACTTGGGAAACAGTTGGTGCAAGGACACTTAGACCTTCTCTGACCCCAGAAAGCAGGACATAAATCTCTTACATGAATAATATCCTCCCTGTACTAAGAAGTAAAAAGACATCCTATCACCAAAGAGAGGGACTTTAAAGCCAAGAAAGCAGTAGAAATAAACCCCAGTGTGTGTGTTTGTATGTGTGTATATGTGTGTATGTACCAATCTATAGATCTATAGCTACCTCAGCCCAAATTCCACTTAGAGTTCCTTACTAATGAAAGTTCCCAAACATCTCTTTTCTTTATTCTGCCGAGTTCTCACGAATTTATTGTCTCTTTGTCTAAATTGTATAAAAACTGCCCGCCTTTGTCATTTCTTCGGGTCTCAATTTTATTATTGGGCCTCCATGTACATATCCTAAAACTTTGTTTTTTCCTTTTGTTAATCTGTCTCATGTCAGTTTAATTCCTAAACCAGCTGGAAAAACCTTGGAGGGAAGAAGAAAATTTCTTCCTGCCCTATAACTTCGTGTCTCAGTCTAAACTTTGATTTGCTAGCTTTTACTAGTGCCCTAAGACTGGGTGAGTCCACTGTCATCCTGGTACCCAGGGGATCTGGTTTTTACCCCTTTTGTAGCCATAGGACATGAATATAACTATCTGTGTACCTGACGGTCTCCGTGAGCACACAGCATGCGATGTGAGGGCAGTGTTTTATCTTACTCAGCATTATCCTTCCCCAGGGTCTAAGCCCGTGTTGAATGACTGAATGTGTAAATGGGAAACGAAGCTGTGCACTGTCTTATAAATGAATTCAGGAAAAGTCAAATCCTCATCTGTTTGTTCCCATGCAGAAAGACTTGGTTTTAAATACCAGCCAGTGCCACCCCTCTGCTCGTAGAATTAGTTTGGCCAAAGTCACCTAATGTCCTTAAGTTTCATTTGCATACTTTGAGAAATAAACATACTAAGAGTGATTACTGTATGAGATTGTTTCCAGAAGAAATGAGGAAAATGCATACAGTTGCACAGTGCCAAGTCCATAGTTAAATGTAAAGAAATGTTAGCTATTAGTTTTAGTGCAGTTTTTTATTAATTGCCATTTCATGCATGCCTACATATGGGCTACAGAGGGGACCAAAGATCTTTCTCATGGCAGAAATTTGGCAGAAATCTTTTTTTTCCTTTTCGTTTTCTCTCTTTGTTTCTAGCAAGGTAAAAGAAAATGACAGGCCGCATGCTGCGTGCTGATTACTGCTTTGAGTTTCACTTCCCTTTCTTTCAAACAGGAAGCCACAAATCTCAGGAGAACCTTCCAGTCTCCAAACTGGGGCTGCTCGATACATGAAACAGAACAGCTAACACCACATGTAAGCTCAATCCAACTCTTAAAAAACAGGTAAGTGACTTTTTGCCATCCAATGTTTCCTAGCTGTGTGTAAAGAAAATTGCTTGTTTGCCTTTCTTTGAAAAAGAATTTCAGAGGAAACTTGCTGCTAATGATCATAATTTCCCCTTGAGTTTGTTTTGTTTTTAATGAATATTTCAAACACAGGGAACTCCAGAGAGTAAGTAAACTCCAGTGTAATCTTACTCAGCTCTATCAGATTTTTTAAAATGGCTTGCTTTATCGAATTGGAATCGTTTTTTACCCCTGAAAAATGAAAGCATTACAGATAATGTTGAAGTTTTCTGTGAATCTCTCCTACATTCCTTTCTCTTCCCTTCCTTCCCCCTAGGGAAATATTAAACAGACTTTGGGACAAAGTATTGTTTTGCTGGTTTTTATGCTTTTGCTCTATATAACGTATGTATCTAAACGTGATCTCGAGTATAGCTTTGAGTTAACAGTTTATTTTCATTTTTTTTTATTTTTAAGAGATTATTTATTTATTTATTTGACACAGAGAGAGATAGAGAGAGGCAGTGAGAGAGGGAACACAAGCAGGGGAAGTGGGAGACGGAGAAGCAGGCTCCCTGCTGAGCAGGGAGCCCGATGTGGGGCTCGATCCCAGGACCCTGGGACCATGACCTGAGCTGAAGGCAGACGCTTAATGACTGAGCCACCCAGGTGCCCCAACAGTTTATTTAAATAATATCATACTAGATGTATCATTCTCAACTTGTTTTTTTCCACTCAAGATTAATTTTTTGAGCTTTATCAATGTTGATACAAATAGGTCTAGTTCAGTCACTTCAATGCTCTTTAGTATTTCATTGTGTGAATATGCCAAAATTTGTACATGCAATCTTCTAATGTCATCCTAAACAATGCTGCTATGAATGTACTTGTTCCCCAAAATGATGTGTGTCTCAAAATAATGTGAATATTATTGAATCTCCATATCCGGGTCAACTTGGTATTGCTGGACTTTTGTTTGATGTGAAATGATATCTCATTCTTTAATTTACAGTTCTCTGTTTCTAGAATTGAACATTTTTTTGTATGTTTATAATTCATTTGAGTTACCTCATCTGTGAATGTCTTCTTCATATACTTTGACTGCTTTTCCATTAGAGACAGTTTTTCCATTAGATGTGAGATACACACACACACACACACAGAGTAATATTACTCAGCCATAAAAAAGGCTGAGATCTTGCCATTTGGGACAACATGGATGGATCTCGAGGGGATTATGATAAGTGAAATAAGTCAGAAAGAAAAATGCCATCTGATTTCTCTTACATGTGGAATCTAAAAAACAAAACAAATGAATAAACAGTATGGTTTATTTCTGTGTTCTGCTTTTTCTCTTGGTTTTCTATCCTTTTGTTTCATTTCCTCTCTTGTGTTTATGATGAATATGAGTCACTGAATATAAAAAAAATTGAACCTAGAAGGATGTTCTCTTCGTCTAAACAAGATCTGTTTTGCATCTGCCATGCAGCTGGGGGCAAAAGCAAACTTCATTTATACTAACCCAATCATAGACTGAAATTACTTAGGAGATGGAGTTAAGTCTGTCCATTTCCAGGCCACCCTTCCTTCTTCCCTGTAGCTCTTCAGAATCCTTGCCCACGGGGGCGCCTTGGTGGCTCAGTCAGTTAAGTAACTGCCTTCAGCTCAGCTCAAGATCCTGGAGTCCTGGGATTGAGCCCTCCCACCCCCACCCCCCAAGTTGTCAGGCTCCCTGCTCAGTGAGCGGGGGGGTCTGCTTCTCTCTCCCCCTCTGCTTCTCCCCCCAGCTTGTGTTCTCTTTCTGGCTTGCTAACTCTCTCTCTTTCCTTGCCCACGGCCAGAGGAGGGTTGCCAAGGCATCCTCTTTGCTGCACTCTATTCCCCTAGCTCTGGGAGTCCAGCAAAAGTTTTGCTCAATATCTCAGCATCTCTGGCACCTCTTCTAAAGCTAACAGATGTTCCTCAGAGAAATGTGCTCCCAAATGCCAAGCTTACCTCTCAGTGTTCATTTCTTTTCCAAATCTTAGCCCTCCAATGCTTTCAAATACATGTATTTACAGTGCACCCTGTGTTCTCATTTTTCTCATTGAAAGAATTGGCATGATGGCTCATGGATTATTCTGCTGCTGTAGGACCTCAATGTCTGTTAACTCCTTTCATATATCAGTTTCTTTCTTTGGGAACCGTTTTCTGTATAAATTCCTTTCTCCTACCTTCTAATTCATGGGTTGGCCAACTATGGTCTATGTGACATCAACCTGTTTTGATAAAAAAGGCTTTATTGGAACACAGTCATGCCCATTTGTTCATATATTGTCTCCGTTTTTGTGTCACATTGGCAAAGTTGCGTAATTACGGCAGGGACCATATGGCCCACAAAGCCTAAAATATTTACTCTCTGTCATTAAGAAAAAAGTTTGCTGATCGCTGTTCTGATTTATTAATTTTACTTTATTCTTTACCTAGGCTTCCATTTACTTTGTCTACTGACTTTAAAAAATGTAATGGTATTTTCTATTTCTAAATGATCTATTTTTTATAGGTACCTACTATTGTTCAATTTATATATATATATATATAAATATATATATATATTTTGCCTTGTGAATAAACAAATAACATGTTTTAATTGGGCCAGAGGAAAAAAAAATAACATGCTAAAGCTAGAAGCAGAAATCTGTGCTTTAAACCACTATTATATACTAACTAGCCTCTCAATCTATTATTGTTTTTCTATCAGATACAGAACAATGGCAGTGACAACCAGATTGACATGGAGTGAGGAGAAAAGTCTGCAGAAGATGCCTGGGAATGTGTCCTTGAGACTTCTTTATAAATCTAGTGTCCATGACAGTAACATTTCTGGTATGCTTGATAGGTGCACTTGTCAGGGACCTACTGCAACAATAATTTACTTTAATATAAAGACTACTTTTGTGGTCTTTATGCTTGGGCATTATCCTGAAATATCTGACTATTTAAAAAGGCCCGATCCCTCCTTCTGTTTTTCATTTCAAAAGAATAATGCAACTGAAATGACAACTGCAGTTTTAGAAACAGAAACAAAAATTGCTTCTGGATAACTGGTATTTTATTCCTTTAGCCAAGAGATGTTGTCTGTAGATCCAGGCAAAACCAGACTTTCTAGGATGCTTCATTAAGCAAAGCTTTAGGAGTATATATCCCGTCTGACATCAAGTATTTGGAATGTGAAGTTTTTTGAGTTGAAAGTATGTTAAATTAGATAATCCTACATTCTGATTATAGTCTTTCTTTGTGTTTGTGGTCACAATTTAGCTGCAAGAACAAGGAAAAATGAGAGGAACATCAGATTTCATGCCATCAAATTTCTCTTTCATAAACTTCAAAATGAAACCTAGGAAGCATAAAAGTTATGAGGTATTACTCAGAAAGTATAGGCAGCTTTGAACAAAATAGGTTGAGGAGAAGTGGAGACATGGAGAGGGAGAGCCAGTGAGGGCGGGGTTTATGTTGGCACGATGACCCCTTTTGGGTCAGCTCTAGGATCTGTAGGCCTAGTTATATGAGAGTTTCCAGAGCAAGTTACTGTGTAGGGAGGTTAATTTTCCCTTCTCTTCGCATGATGTTGCCAACCCTAACTCCCAACTGGACAGCTCAGCCCTGGTTTATATAAGCAGACTCTTTGCCTCATTTAGAAGGTAGACTTGGGCATATTTAGCCAGGCAAGTTAAAAAACTTATTATGCTATGTTTATTTCCTACAGGAATTGAGGATGATATGAACTACATAAACCAGATAACAAGAGCCACGAAGTAAGTTAGGTTCTTGGACTATCTATTACTCATTTTATTTAGAACACTTCTATAAATGGCATTGGAAATGAAATAGTAAAATAAAAATCATATAACTTGGAGTGATAAAAATGAGTTATAATCTTACTTATGTAATACCTTCGAGGCAATTATGGCAACAACAGAGGCAAAATCACTACCAACTGTGAACCTTTAAAAATCTACCAGGCAATAGTTTGGCTTTATGTTTCTCTTTGGACTTGCTAGATTCAAAGTTTTCCAGACAGAAAAGTCTAGACGACTATTTCAGATAATTTGTCCGAAGCCTTTCCCTGGGAATAAAGTTTTTGGGGGAATTTCAGTAAGTTTTAAAAACAAAGCCCCCTTTCCCCAATTTATAGATAAATAGCTGTTTTGCATATATTTTATTTCTCCTTAATATAATATTATTACTGAAATAATACTCATCTTCATTGTTACTGCTATTTGTTAGATTTGTGTGGTCTAAGACTCGTAGTTTAACAATGATTTGGTTGCTGGTTAATGTTTCTTTATTCGGATATAGATAAATGCATTTTCTTCAAGCACAAAATGCATAACTTTAGACCATTTCAAATCATATGATAGATGTTAATGCCAAGATAATAAGTAATTAAAACATACTTTTAAAGAGAAGGAAAGAAGCAGCAGAATCATACTGTTCCTATGGAAGTTTGGCTCTTGTCTTTAAGTACCTACCGCATGTTATTTGACAGGCACAGAAATCCACTTCTAGCCGAACTCAGAGCCTACAAGCCCTGTGTAGACTTTATTTCAGAAGTTCGTATTCTCTTGCTGGGTCCATCTGGGTCTGGAAAGTCTAGTTTTATCAATTCAGTGAAGTCTGTTTTCCGAGGCCGGGTGACTCACCAAGCCACAGTGACGTCTGATGTCACCAGCATTACTGGACAGGTAAGTTATTTAAAGATTTCCTGAGGATTTTGTTTTATCAATTACAATGATCAGGTTTGTTCATTTCTTTGCCATTTTCTCTTAGAACATTAACCTCCTCCTGATCTACAAGCAATTAAATGCTAAATCAAATGTAAAAAAGGAGTAAAATTTGATTCAGAATTCCCTCCGTTGAGTTGTGTTTCACTTTCCATTTTTATGCGTGCAAGAAGCAGTTATATGAAGAATGCTTTTTGGTACATGTAAAAAAAAAAAAACAAAACAGCACTACAATTTTAAAAATTTTGTGGAAATCTTTGTCCATTATATTAGAAGTCTGTTTTTACTTATGTCCCACATGCTTTTACCTGGATTGAAATTCTTTTCTTTTTTTTTTGTAATAAAATAATGAAAATTATATATTATAACACTTTTCCATTTTACAAGACCATTTTATAAGAAATGATTGTGAAAAGCAAGACAGCAATTCACTTTGGTGGGTCAACCTTCAAAGGGTAAATTTATCAGTGGTCCTACAAACACTATCTTATTTGTAAACAAATATAAGTACTAATACCATTTTTAAAACTGTTACTCTAGATCTACAAATTACTGTGTAAAAACTTTCATCCCTTCTATGCTTGTCAATGTTACACAATCAAATAAAAAAATTAAGGGGAATGAATAGAACATTTCATCATCAAGCTGTATTTTTCTGTGATTGCTACAAGCAAATATTGTTATCTTCTGATTGGAAATATGCGTGCACTGTCAATGCAAAATTTAGCATAAGACAGTAATGGTTCATTTTAGTTTTGTGTCACATTTAATAACTGAAAACATTTTCTAAGACTTTCAAGAATCACATCTTATTTCTTGATGTTGGCTAGATTCTATCTATTTGACTGACTTTATTTTGGTATATTAGCCTAGTCTCAGAAGCCAAAGCAAGGTACCACAATGGCACTTCAAAACACTAAGCATTGATTGAAATGTTTCTATTTGTGAAAGATTGTGTTGGCAATAAAGACCTAAATACAAATGAGAGCTGGTCTTTTTACTCAAGGATTTCAGTGTAGGTAATAAACAAATAAGTACTATTCAATGTGATAAGTGCTGTAATGGAGGTACTCATCAGGAGAGGCTCTGTCTCCCTCCTTTTCATGTTGAAAGCTCCAAAGACATTGCTCTAAGAGAAGATGTAGATCCTTAGGTCCAAATGAAATGCAAATACTACTATATAAACTGAAGGAATACAAGACAGAATATTTGTCAGAGAAACAGTATTTTATTTCATTTCTCAGAGACCCTTCTCTTTGAAGAATTAAATTTTTTTAAAAAAGATTTTATTTATTTATTTGACAGAGAAAGAGAGCACAAACAGGGGGAGTGGCAGAGGGAGAGGGAGAAGCAGGCTGCCCCGCTGAGCAGGGAGCCTGACGTGGGGCTTGGGGCTCGATCCCAGGACCGTGGGATCAGGACCTGAGCCAAAGGCAGATGCTTAACTGACTGAGCCACCAAGGCACCCCTGAAGAATTAAATTTATGAAGTAAACAGATTAATAAAAACTATGAATGTGCCTATTGATCTTGAAATTTTACAGTGCACTTTAAGTGTGTAACTCTACTGCTTCAGTGTAACTCCTTTCAAGCACCAGTAAGTCCTGTTCATTTAGATCAAAATATCTAATGGGATTGCTCCTGGGCATTGGACTTATGGACCAGTGGGAACTTTTGACTCCAGTACAGATTACAATAGGTCGTAGAGGGTTCTCAACTGCGTAGTGTGGAATGGGAGATTTGTGATTCAAGTGTTGTCTGGTATCACTGAGAAGTACTTCTCTTTGTGAATCTTCCTAAGTGTTCCATAGTTATGCCTCTGTGGAAGTATATTTGACCAATAAAAAATTTTCAGAGTTCTGAAAAAAAAGTGGAGCTTCTCAAAGTGAGGTTTGTAGACCCCCAAGAGTCCCTGAGGGCATTTTAGGGGATCTATGAGTTTAAAATTATTTGTGTAATAATGCTTAGATGGCTTTGCTTTTTCTAGAGTATTGGCATTTGAACTGATCATACACATGTAGTTTTATTTGTTGGGTGGTACCTTAGCATGAATCAAGCAATGGCACCAAGCTCTATTAGTAATCGCTATATACGTTCCTAGCACTTGCAGTAAAAAAAATGCTAGTTTCATTTAAGAATGTAATTGATGACTAAGTAACACCATTGATTTTATTTAAACTCAACTTTTTATTATTTTATATATATTTTTGTGTGATGAAATGGGAAATACAAAGGATTTCTAAGGTATATCAAGATTTGGTGGTTGTCAAGAAAAGACACTGGTGCGATTGAGTTGTGAGCTGAACTTTTTTCATGTAACATCCTTTATAAATGAGAAGACAATTGACAGACTTGATTATTCATACTTAGGTATTTGGTAGACATTTATGGACAATGCACAAAATGAGCATATCACTACAAGAAAAACAACGAACCAGCAATGTTTGTTGCCAATGATAACATCTGAGCTTTTAAGAAAACAAAAATTAGAACTTTGGGAAACTTGGATCCACCACTTTGAGCTTCATAACTTCTCAATACTTAAAAACTTACCTGATGAGATTAATGGTGCTAGTAACAAATATGATGTTTTAATATTGTGTGGTGAAATGTACCAATATTTGGAAGATCTTATCTAGATCCAATATTTTCAAATGACCAAATGCATTGGGTTTGTAAGTCATGCATGAATAAAAAATATATTCAAAGCATAAGATAGATCAATAAATTTAATGTAGCTGAGTATGAAAATGTCACAGATCCTAGCTAATCTTTGGAGAAATTATCACTTATTGAGCTTTGATACATTATTAATGAGGAATATCCACAATTCTCTGAAAGCTGTTAAATTAAATACTCTCTCCTTTTCCTACTACTATATATATGTGAGGCTAGATTTTCTTCATACACTTCAACCAAAATGATATATCACAACAGATTGAATTCAGAGGCAGATATGAGAATCCTGCCATCTTCTATTAATCCAGATAGTAAAGAGAATTGCAAAAAGTAAATTGATCCTATTCTTTTTAATATTTTTTTTGGAAATAATTTTTTCATAAAAATGTCCTTTAGGTTAACATTGCAATAGATTCATAATTGTATTTTAAAATGATTTAAGAAATATTTAAATTTTTAAAAAATTTTTTAGTATGTTAAATATCAATAGATATAACCTACATACATAAAATATCTTTGAGATTCTCAATAATTTTTAAGAATATCAGGTGATACTGAGACCAAAATGTTTGAGGACCACAGTGTTAAAATATTAGCCACTTTCTGTTCTTCCTTTTGTCATGTCTTGAATGCTAGTTGAAGAATGAATTTTTACCTTTGATATACTTTGTTTTATAGTATAGGATATATCCTATTAAAGATGGGAAAGATGGCAAATATCTGCCATTTAGGTTGTGTTACTCCATGGGGCTACATGAGAAAGAAGGAGTAGGTTTGTGTGTGGATGACATACCCTACATCTTAAAAGGCTGTGTGCCAGACAGATAATCAGGTAAGAATTCTCCAATCTCTACAACATTTAAAATCAGTTTCATCAATTATTTTTGTTAAGTTTTTACCCCATAAGGCAGTTTCAACTGTCATAAGGTGTTTTCAACATCAACCAACACTACTCTGCTTTAAATGAATAAGTATTCATATAAGTAAAGTAGAGTAACTTATTTTCTACAGCATTAAGAAAGCAAGCCTGGGGTGCCTGGCTGGCTCAGTCGGTAGAACGTGTGGTTCTTGAACTCAGGGTCATGAGTTTGAGCGCCACACTGGGTGTGGAGATAACTTAAAAAAAATAAGGTGATCTCAAAAGAAAAAAAAAAAAAAAGAAACAAAGAAAGAAAAGAAAAGAAATACAGCCAAAAGGCAGTATTTTACTCATACAGATCCCAGAAAAAGGACAGGAGGGGATTGTGTTTATTTCACTCTTTATTGTAAAATAGATAGGAAAGTAATAGTTCAATCTCATGTACTTTTTTGATCAACTAGACAAAATCTTGGAACAATTAACCACTTTTTGTTGAAGTGTGATATTATTATACTGTAAGTACTTAGGTTTCACTACTTAAATGCTACCTAAATACCTACATCCAAAGGTTGGCTCTGCCACTAGCTAGATGTGCACCTGTAAGCAAGTAACATACTTGTCTCCGTAAGTCTTCCTTTTTTATGTGTGAAATGTAGGTAATAATAATGCCCATTTCATAGGGCACCTGAGAAGATAAACGAGATGATGTACTTTACATTCTCAGAAGGTCAACCATTATTATTCCCTTTCTTTTAGGCATTGGGTATAATACAATCAGCCTCAATTTCTGAACAGTGGCTTCCATTGCCTCTCAGTTGTGCTTGATCGGAAACCTTAACTATGTACTCAAATACTAAAAAGCCATGATTGAAAACCTAATTTGTGCCAGATACTTTGCTAGTTACTGGAAACACAGAGTTGACTAAGAACACAATTCTTATCCTCACAGTCTAAGGAGACATAAGATACAGGGAGGTGGAACAGAGCAGAGAGATGGGAGAAATCGTGAGCCTATGAAAAACCTTCATTTTTCACAACAGAGAGGCAGTCAATTCAGTCCAACATTGAAACATATGGGTAAAACATAATGAATGTAGCCCTTTACTATATTTTTAATTTTTTGAGATTTTATTTATTTATTTGACAGAAAGAGAGTGCACAAGCAGGGTGACAGGCAGGCAGAGGGAGAGGGAGAAGCAGGCTTCCCACTGAGCAGGGAGCCCGATGCAGGACTTGATCCCAGGACCCTGAGATCATGACCTCAGCCGAAGGCGGGCGCTTAACCAACTGAGCCACCCAGGTGCCTCCCCCCACCCCTGCCCCTTTACTGTATTTTAAATCTATTTTCTCAATCCTAGAAAGATTATTGTTTTGTGGTAAGGAGATACTAACTTAAAATTTGGTATTTCTTCTGTTTCATTTTC